TTTTTTTTTTTTGTTGAGACAGAGCCTCAAGCTGTCACCCTGGGTAGAGTACCATAGCATCGCAGCTCACAGCAACCTCTAACTCCTGGGCTTAAGCGAGTCTCCTGCCTCTACCTCCCAAGTAGCTGGGACAACAGGCGCCCGCCACAACGCCCAGCTATTTTTTGGTTGCTGGCGGCATTGTTGTTTGGTGGGCCCGGGCTGGATTCGAATCCGCCACCTTAGGTGTACGTGGCTGGCGCCTTAGCCACTTGAGCCACAGGCGCCGAGCCTGCTAAAATATTTCTGAGGCTGCAAAATACATATGCACTGTATGACTTAGTGGCTATCTAATAATATTCCACCCCAGACATTCACTTAAAGGAATTATCTCACTGTTAAGTATTCAACATTTAGGTATCCATGCTAACCCATTTGACATTGCACAGCAGGGACTGGAGGTTGTTCAAGGTTAGGTCGAGGGCTCCAGGCTGTCAGTGCGAAGGAGGGTACTAAAGCAGAAGTCGGTTTGCCAACCGTGTAACTCTTCCAACCACCTGCTATCTTGGCGCCTTTTCTCTGCGATCCCACCGCGCCCCGCGCGCTCTCGGGGGAGGGCCAGGGCCGGGTGCGCGCGCACCCTTCGTCCCAGGCGTCCTCACAGTTAGTACACCTCTTTAGGTGTACGTGCTGCAGGAAGTGACGCAAGCCCTGAGGGGGGGAGTCGGGAGGGGGCGGGACCAGACTATAAACTGCCGGTTGGGGGCAGCCATCCCCTGAGAGAGCGTCGGGATCGCGCTCGGTAGTCTGTGCAGTGGCGGACTTAGAGGGTGCTTGGGTGAGTGACATGCAGCTGCTGGAGCTCAAAGTCTTCCCTGCCGCGTGCGCGGCCGATTGGATTGTTCGCCCCGGTGCTGTCCAGCAGCCTTTGAAGCAGCAGGGGTGGCGGGGAGGCTGCTGCGGCTCGAGAGGGTGGGGCGGCGCGCGGGATGGAACAAGGCCAGCGAGCCTGTGGGGAAGGCGCTGCGGCAGCGCGAATAGCGGGCTTGCAGGTGCTGGGGTTGGAGCTGTGGTAAGGAGAGGCGCGTCCCTTCCCTGCCCTCCCTTGCCTTTTTGTGCCCGTCTCGGTCGCGGAGCGTGGAGTGGATTGTCTAGTAGAGCTCTCTGGGCGAAATGAGGTGTACCGCACTGTCGCTCTCCGCCTCGCCATTCTTCGGCTCCTCTTGTCCATGGCGATCTCTGTTCCTCACTAGCTCGCCCTTGAAAGTCCCTGGCCATATAGGCTGCTAGCGTGAGATCGCTGGTGCGGCGGTGCTGCAGCAGTACTCGCCTGCAGCGCCGCGAGCACGTGGCTCTCCAGGAAGTCGGGACGACTGTCGGGTCCATGGGTGACCTTGAGTTGATAACCATGGTCTTCCTCGGGGTCCGGGCGGGCCCTGGCCTCACTGCTGACAGGACAAAGCTGACCTCCATAGTTATGAGCGTGTTACGGGTATTTAGATGAGGATTTCTGTAAAGGGTACATTTGAACTCCAGTACAACCGTATCTTTCTTACTAGGCTCTCTGCCTATGGGCCTTGTGTATTCTGTTTTCCCAAGCAGAATCCAACTAAACGGTGCAGGTTTTCACGTTAAGAATTTTGCTAGCAGTCCCTACTGCAAGAGGGGTGCCAGTACAATGAAGGCTGATTAGTAAAAGATAACGTATTTGGAAGTTAGGGGTATAGTCAAAGGCTAGAGGTTGTGCGGTATTGATGAGCGCGGTAGATGCCTGTGTCTCGCTTCTGTTGGACAGTTCCAGTTTTTAAGGATAGGAAAACATTCTGTAATTTAGCTTTTTTGGTTTACACATTACGGTTTCAACGCAGCCCACTCATTTTTGCCCACTCTTTCTAGTGACCTTGGGTGCCAAATTTATCCAGGGCATTTGATTGCTGCTTTTTTTTTTTTTGGAGACAGCCTCAAGCTTTCGCCCTGGGTTGAGTGAGAGAGTGCTGTGGCATAACATCTCACAGCACCCTCCAACTCGTGGGCTCAAGCGCATCTCCTGCCTTCGCCTCACAATTAGCTGGGACCACAGGCGCCTGCCACAACGCGTGACTTTTTTTGTTTGTTTGTTTGTTTGTTTTTTGGCTGCAGCCGTCATTGTTCGGCGGTCCCAGGCTGGATTCGAGCCCACCAGCTTCGGTGTATGTGGCTGGCGCCTCAGTCGCTTGCGCCGAGCCTTTCTTTCTTTCTTTTTTTAAGATAAAAGTAGGAACGAATGTGCTATTAGAAATACGCATCTGGCTACTTGATAGCTTTAAGCTTGGAATACTAGATGCTTTATTCAATTGTCTCTGAACTGTAGAATTTGATCTTATTGACAAGGACATTTATGCAGGTTTCCACAAGTTATCTACTGTGAAAACTAAGCTTAGGTGCTATAAAGTACTTGTGAGGCCTGCGGGGGCCCCCCCCCCACCCCCGTTTTGGATTATAAGATGTTTCACAAAATAATTTAATAATTGTCATTGATAACAGAGGGTACCCTTTAAATAGTCTTCCATGGGACTTGTAGTCCCAGCTACTCGAGAGGTTGAGGCAAGAGGATCTCTTGAGCCCAAGATTTTGAGGTTCCTGTGAGCTATGATGGCACCAGGGCACTCTACTCAGGGTAACAGTGAAACTTTCTGAATTTTTTTTCTTTCTTTTTTTTTTTGTTTTTGAGACAGAGCCTCAAGCTGTCCCCAGCTCACAGCAACCTCCAACTCCTGGGCTCAAGCGATTCTCCTGCCTCTGCCTCCCAAGTAGCTGGGACTATGGGCGCCCACCACAACACCTGTCTATTTTTTGGTTACATCCCTCATTGTTGTTTGGCAGGCTGGGGCTGGATTTGAACCTGCCAGCTCAGGTGTATGTGGCTGGCGCCTTAGCTGCTTGAGCCACAGGCGCTGAGCTTGAATTTTTTTTAAGTCATGGTGGCTGTGAACCTAGCCTTTTGTAAGTTAAGTTTTAATGCATAGTTCATCAGGTAATTGTTAATCATTATTAGCTCATAGCAAATTACACCAAAGCTTTGTGGACTAATACAACACCACATTCTTATGTTACACATTCTATGGGTCAGTAAACTGGGCACAGTTTAGCTGGTTGCCTCTAACTCAGTATCTTTCACACAGCTGAAACTGAAGTAAGCCAGGGCCATAGTCTTTTTTTTTTTTTTTTTTTTTTGAGACAGTCTTATTATGTTGCCCTCAGAGCTCATGGCAACCTCAATCTCTTGCCTCAGCCTCCCATGTAGCTCAGACTGCAGGCGCGTACCACAATGCCCAGCTATTTTCTTTTTTTATAGAGACAGGAATTTTTTTTTTTTTTTTTAAGAGACTGGGGTATCCTCTTGCTTAGGCTGGTCTTGAACTCCTGAGCTCAAGCAATCCACTGGCCTCATCCTGGGATTACAGGCGTGAGGCCACTGCCCCTGCCCCAGGGCTGTAGTCATTTTATTAACAGTTGCCTTAGGGAAGTTTCACTTCAAAAAGCAATCAGTGAACTGTCCACGGGCCTCAGGTTCTTGCCTACCATTTAGCAGGAGACATATCCTTGTTGTATAGACTTATTCTCAGCATTGATGCTTGCTTCCCTCAAAACAAGAATGGATAGAGCAAGAGTGCACCCTAGCCTGTGCTGAAGATTATTGGATAGGGAAGATCTGTGTGGCTGACTCTCCCCTGAAGCAAGGTGTTTATTTGCCTCTGATAGTGTGTTTACCTATAATGGAGCAAAGTTCCAGCTAACCCTTAATAAAATAGCGAAAGAAAGCTACTACAGCTTGCTTGCTTGCTTGCTTTCTTTCTTTCTTTCTTTCTTTCTTTCTTTCTTTCTTGCAGTCTTGGCCGGGGCTGGACTCGAACTCACCACCCCTGGTATATGGGTATGGCACCCTACTCCTTGAGCCACAGGTGCCACCCAAGCTACTTATCTTTTTTTTTAAATTCTTTGTTTTTAGAGACAGTCTCACTTTATCACCCTCGGTAGAGTGCTGTGACATCACAGCTCACAGCAACCTCCAGCTCCTGGGCGTAGGCAATTCTCTCGCCTCAGCCTCCTGAGTAGCTGGGACTATAGGTGCCTGCCACAGTGCCCAGCTATTTTATGTTGCAGTTTGGCCAGGGCCAGGTTCGAACCTGCTGTCTGTAGATGGGGCCAGCACCCTACCCACTGAGCAACAGGCGCTGCTCAAAAGCAACTTTATTTTATTTATTTTTTGAGATAGAGTCTCAAGCTTTAACCCTGGGTAGAGTGCTGTAATGTCATAGCTCACAGTGACCTCTAATTCTTGGGTTCAAGCGATCCTCTTTTTTCTATTTTTAGTTGAGTACTCCCTTTTATGCTCAGGCTGGTCTTCAACTGGTGAGCACAAGCAATCAACCCACCGCCACCTCTCAGTACTAGGATTACAGGTGTGAGCCACCATACCCAGCCAGTAAGTTAAAATGATCCTCTGGGCCAGGTGTAGTGTCTCATGCCTATAATTCTAGTACTCTGGAAGGCTGAGGTGGGTGCATTGCCTGAGCTCAGTAGTTGAGACCAGCCTGAGTAAGAGTGAGACCCTATCTCTCAAGTAAAAAAAAAAAAATAGTGGGGTGTTATAGTGGGTGCCTGTAGTCCCAGCTGCTTGGGATGCTGATGGAAGACAAACTCTGGAGCACAAGAGTTTGAGGTTGCTATGAGCTATGACACCAGATGAGACTATCTCCAAAATATAAATAAATAAAATGGCCCTCGGAGGGCTTTTGGAAATTCTTTGTGTAGGTGCCATCTGTCTGCTTTCCCAGATAAACATGGCATATAGACTTGCAGTGACTTCAAGTGGTCTTGACCTTCAAGTTGGACAATTTCTTTCTTTCTTTCTTTCTTGACAGTGTTACTTTATCATCCTCTGTAGAGCGCTGTAGTGTCACACCTCACAGCAACCTCCAATTCCTGGGCTTAGATTCTCTTGCCTCAGCCCTCAGCCTCCAGAGACTACAGGCACCTGCCACAATGCCTGGCTATTTTTTTGTTGCTGTTTGACTGGGACTGGATTTGAACCCGCTACCCACCACCCTTGGTATATGGGGCCGGTGCCCTAGCCACTGAGCCACAAGTGCCACCCAATTTCTTTCTTTCTGTTTTTTTTGAGACAGCCTCAAGCTGTCGCCCTGGGTAGAGTGCTGTGGCATCACTGCAACTTCCAACTCCTGGGCTTAAGCAATTCTCTTGCCTCAGCTACAGGCGCCAAGCCTTTTTTTTTTTTTTTTAAATATTTATATATATATTTTTTTGAGACAGTCTCAAACTATCACCCTAGGTAGAATGCCATGGCGTAACAGCTCACAGCAACCTCAGCAAATTCTTGGGCTTAAGTGATTCACTTGCCTCAGCCTCCCAAGTAGCTGGGACTATAGAGGCCCACCACAACACCTGGTTATTTTTCTGTTGCGGTTGTCATTGCTTAGCTGGCCTGGGGTGGGTTTGAACCCACCAGCCTTGGTGTATATGGCCAGTGCCTTAATCAGTGTGTGCCCCAAATTTTTTCCTTTTTTAAAATTTCAGATTAATATGAGGGCATAGGCAATTAGGTTACCATGTTTTCCTTTGTTAGGTAAAGTCCATATGTAGGTATGTATTATGTGCTTACCTTTTTGTCCAGTATTTCCCCCTTTCCTCCATTCTTCCTCCTCCCTCCCTCAATTTGAATTGAGTTTTTCTCTTGTGGGCATGTATTAGTTCATTATCTGTCTTCATATTAGTACTGACTACCTTAGACATTTGCTGTTCCATTTTTGTAATAATTTTACTAAAGAGAGTTATCTCCAACGCTGTCCAGGTTAATACAAAAAGTGTATAGTATTGTGTGGTATATACATATCTCGGTTTATTATTCCATTCTTGGGTTGATTCCATATCTTAGAGACTGTAAATTGAGCTGCAGTAAAACAATCTGGTGCATGCTCAGCGCTCATAGCTCAGTGGTTAGGGCGCTGGCTACATATACCACACAGGCAGGTTCGAACCTGGCCTGGGCCTGCAAAACAATGACAACTGCAACAAATAGCAGGGTGTGTGGTGGGCGCCATTAGTCCAGGTACTTGGGAGCCCAAGGCAAGAGAATCACTTAAGCCCAAGAGTTTGAGGTTGCTGTGAGCTGTGATGTCATGGCACTCTACCAAGGATGATAAAGGAGACTATCTAAAAAAGTCTACCTCACACTTTCAGAGCATATAGATTGGAGTTATTTTTAGTTGGAAAAATAGTTTATTATGGGGGTTCCTTTAAATAAAAAGCTTAGTGTGAGTCATTTTGAAAGAATGACTCAAATTTCATGTATAAAACTTCAGAAGTGACTTTTATGGCTGTCATAGAGCTATTGTGGTCCACATGGATGTGGGGCTACATGGTGAGGTTAAAAATGCATATTGCTTGGGTTATAATTTTTCTTTGACTTAATTTCTTTTTTTCTTTTTTCTTTTTTCTTTTTTTTTTTTTTTTGAGACAGTCTCACTTTGTCACCCTTGGTAGAGGGTCTGTGACATCACAGCTCACAACAACCTCAAATTCTTGGGCTTAAGCGATTTTCTTGCTGGAACTACAGGCACCTGCCATAGTATGGGCTATTTTTAGAGACAAGGTCTTGCTCTCGCTCAGGCTGGTCTCTAACTTGTGTGCTCAGGCAATCCACCCGCCTAGGCCTCTCAGAGTGCTGGGATTATAGGTGTGAGTCACTGTGACCAGATTTCTGTTAGGTTTTAGTCTAAATTTGGGTCTGGGAATTGACAGATTACATGTTGTCTTAGCAAAATACTACTTGGATTTTAGTTAGAGATACCAATAATTACATGTTCTATTAATAACTGTTTCTAAATTATTTAGATCATTTATTTAAATGTATTATCACTTTAGCCTTAAAATTAACTTAAAACTAGGAAACTTAAGCATTGGCTGGTTCAGATGAGTTAAACTTCTAGGCTGTTTTTTCCTAGAAAAGGGTGATTCAAATTGGTTCAGGGTGGAGCCTTGTGGTCTGGCTCTAGCGGTTGGGTTTGTACCGTTTTTGTGCAGGGGTAATGATAAAGCCTTTATACCAGAAGGGGAAAGATTGTGTTTCCAAGAATGTGATCTATTGCATATTGGCTTAAAGCTTAGGGATTTATTTTATTTTATTTATTTATT